TGTTGTTATTGTTTTGTGAAGAAAAATAACACATGACGATACAACTCTGCAACCTATGTTTATTCGGTGTTATGTGAGGTTAAGTGCTGAGATATAATAAATAATCGTAACAGGTGTTCACAACCGTCGTGTTTTAACACAACTTTTGTTAGGAAAATATAACTTCACAACACCTTGTGAATTGCCCAAATGTTAAGTTTTATAAAATATTGGGTTTTATTACAAAACACGGAACGGAAAGAATACCCACCGTTTCGCTAGAAAAAAAAAAACTAAAAACGGGAGTCGATAGGGTTTTATCAGCTGATTATAACGGTACTGAAATTTACTTGCAGAAATTAAAATTAAGCGAGATATCGAAGGTCAAAGATCGAAATTCGCTTTTTGGAAAACCGTAATATCTCAAAAACTAGTAAAGCGTTTGTAAAAGTTAATATATAGTTTTAAAGGAAATTAATACACCTTTCTTTGGTCTGCATCAAACGTCAAACGTTGTGACATCCCTACTGTGAGCACTCCTTTCTAGCAGTCGTCGCGAAACTTTACAGGTGTTGCCAGACATTTCTTTGCGCCCATTTTTTATATTCAGCCTTATCATGAGTTTCATTTTCCCCGAACCGGTTCACTTTTCACTCTTGGTTTCCATGGTTTTACTATGGGCGGATGACAAATTTTCGGGAAACTCAGGATAAGGCAGATTGTTACGATTATCCTCGAAACCTTTAGGGATTTTCCAAATATCTTTCGGCTCGTATCTCTGGATTGTTAAATAAACGCTTACGATGACCAAACTACAGTACAATTAACTTTATTGTACAATAAAAACTTTACAATACTTGTTTATACAATAACAACAATTAACAATGCTTGTTAAGGCAATTAAAACACTTTACAAAACTTGCTTGCTGATTCGCAACTCACTTTACTTGGCGCTTGCTGACTTGTAACTTACACACTCCGGTGTCTGGTGGCGCTCTTATATACCTGCGCTCGCACTCATGGCAACTCTACATGGCGCTCTGGTAAGACAGATCGTGTCAGCTGACACGGGTCGACGTACCGGTAGATTTACGTTCTTGACTAATTTCAGCTAAAGAGCGAAATACACCACAAAGCGGCTTGTCAAACATTCTTCAAACCTACTTTTCCCATTTCGCCATACACCATGCAAATATGACTCGTTCAAGCAAAGAATTTTAGTTTTCTTCCAGTTCGCAATGCTAAATATTATGGTTTTCTTTCATTTTCCTCTCTTACGTCCTTACTCGGTGAAAATTTCGTTGCGAATGAGGCGATTTTGCTATACACAACGCAAGCGGTTTGATCAAACATCAACATGGCGGCCAGAAAATCAAAAAATTTTGATTTTTTGCTCAAATTTCCCTCAAGCGGGTTGTCAAACCTTCAAGCACCCCCATACACAGCACAAATGGCTTGAAGCAAAGGGAAATTTCGCTTGGTTTGTCAAACCGCTTGTGTGGTGTATTTCGCTCTTAAAGGGAGCGGTGCGAGATAGACAACTGTCAGTTTATCGAACCTTGTATAGGACTGCTTTTACACAGTTCAAGTATTGAATTCAATTCTGCTCGCATGTTGGAGAGAGGGGGTGAGAAGAAAGGGGACGAGTACACATGCATCTGTACCGTCAAGTCGTTTCAACTTTCTTGCTTTGCTTTTGGCATTTTCGTTGCTTCCCATTTAAAGAACCAAAAACTTGAATTCAACAGAATTGAAAGCAAAATTGAATGTAAAAGCAAATAGAAAACACAAAAGAGAATGAGCAAGAATTGCTTTCAAGTACTTGAATCATGTAAATCGGGTGTTATTGAATCATGGTTCAAAAGTATCGATACAAAACTTACTTGGTATCGATCGAAAAGTGGCGAGCATGTACATGTATTTACTCGTATCATTTCATCCCTAGAAAAAAAACCAAAACAAAAACCAAAACACGTGCAAGGTGTATCAAACGACTGACTTCGCAAACTTGTTAACTTTTGGCTCTTAATTGAAATTAAATAAAACAATAGTATTTTGCACCCACCCAAAAAACAAATAATTAAGTACAATACAAATATTCTATGGGTTTGACGAAACAGTATTTGGCCTTTCGGCCCGTGGACAGTTTCAACATCATTACCAGTGGTAGGGCCAATGTGAATTTTGTTATTTACAATAGAACTGAAGGACGATATGCGCTGGCTGCAGCGGCTGAGAATGTAATTGTTTGGGATTTGCGGTAAGAAACTAGTCTGAATAATTTATACAGCTAGGTAGTTGCAAATTTAAATTTTCACAGATTGGGCGAACGGACTTTGACGTTGCGCCGTGACAAACAGGAGGTAACAGCAATTCGAGCCTCTCCCGATCGCATACATGTTGCTGTGGGTTATATTGATGGGGTGGTAGAACTATTTGATTTGCGAGCTCCAGAGCAGTCTGCATGTACATTCGCTTTACATAAGAGTGCAGTGTCTATTCTGCGATTCGACGAAATGGGCATTCGATTGATAAGCGGCAGCCTTGATACGGAATTGGTAGTTGTGGATATTGTAGAACAGGCTGGTCGTCAGCGTCTCATAGGCCACAATGCCCCAATAACTGATGCTCACTTTCTTCATCGTTTTGGAGAGCAAAATCTTGTGGTTAGCTGTTCGAAGGACACACAAATAAAATTCTGGAATTTGGAAACCCAGTTCTGTTTCAAAACAATTGTTGATAATCGTACTGAGGTCTGGGCATTAGCTTTGGTAGGCGATCTTATGATCGCAGGTTGTAGCGAAAGCGCCATGAACGTTTATCGTTTACGTCGACGTGACGACCCAACTCAAAGTGTTGAAAATGCCGTTGAAGGTTTGAGCATAGACGATGAAGATTCTATTAGCCCTATAACGGTTACTAATTGTGGCGCTATACAACGAGCAGGAAAGGGACGTTGTGTAAATTTAGTCTCAGATCAGGCTGAGCGTGTGGTCAGTTGTCATGGCACAAATGACCTTATCGAAAATTTTTACTTCTGCACTGAGGAGGAAGCTAAAGCGAGGCTAGCTAAGCGTCTGAAAAAAGGACGAAAAGCTGCCGAGCCAATGGAACACAGTGACAAAGAAAAAGAAGATTTGATTTCAAGCCTCAGTGACGAGATAAAGCGATTGGAAAGCATCAAAGTAAAGCAAAAAATAAAATCAATCGACATAATACTTGGTGCTCACAATGAACTGCGTGTGCTCGTTAGTTTGGCAAATAACTGCCTACAACTATATGGTCTTAATGCTTCGCTAAAATATAAACACAATGAAGAAAGTGTGAAGCAGTTGCGCGCATTGACGCGTCTTGGTCATCAATCAGAGATGCGTTCTGTATGCTTTAGTAACGATTCGTTAGCTATTGGTTCAGGTGCCGGTGAGTCGTTCAAATTTTGGAACCGTGATTCTATGCAGTGCCTGCGTACTATACCTACCGATTACATATTGAGCACCACTTTCGTGCCAGGGGATCGCTATGCGTTATTGGGTATGAAAAACGGAAAGTTGGTGATAGTTGACGTGGGTGCAGCGGATATTATCGAGGAGATACCAGCGCATGAAAGCGAGTTATGGTCGGTTACGCTATTGCCAGATATGAAAGGCTGTGTGACGGGTAGTAGTGATTCGACGGTCAAAATTTGGACTTTTGAATTGGTAGACAATGTGGCCACAGATGATGGTGGTTTAGTTGATGTCACGCGACCAAAAGTGCTCTCATTACTGCACAGAAATACACTCAAATTGGAGGAGACTGTTTTGTGTGTACGAGTTTCGCCTGATATGAAATATCTCGCAGTGGGCTTACTCGATTCAACAGTAAAAATTTTTTTCCTTGACACTTTTAAGTTTTATTTGTCGCTCTATGGGCATAAGTTGCCAGTTCTATGTCTAGATATCAGTTATGATTCGACATTGATAGCCACAGGCTCAGCTGATCGTAATATAAAAATTTGGGGATTGGATTTCGGTGACTGCCACAGATCCCTTTTTGCGCACGACGACTCAGTAATGGCTCTGCAGTTCATACCCAATACTCATTTGCTGTTCAGTTGCGGTAAAGATGGTAAAGTGAAGCAATGGGATGCAGACTCATTCGAAAAGATTTTGACGCTTCCAGGTAAGCAGGCAGATTTTTCGAACTCAGATTTTAAATCTTATCATCTTTGAATACTTTTTTCATTTCAGGCCATATTGGCGAGGCCTTCAGTTTGGCGGTTAGCCCAAATGGTAAATATCTTGTCACTTGTGGCTCAGACCGCACACTACGTCTTTTCGAGCGCACTGATGAACCGATAGTGTTAAAAGACGTACAAGAAGAAGAACGTGAAGAGCTGGAAAATCAACAACTCGCTACGGGCGAAGATAGTGCAGTACCTCAACTACCTGGCCTAAAGTTACCCTCGCGCAAAACTGTTGG